CCAAGAAGCTTCTTGGGTTCTGATGGAAGGATTTACATTCCTTGCAGTAATCTGGTTGTTGGCACGCCGAGGGTCTGTCTGGCCGCAAAGAATATAAATCCTTCCATTCCTCACCGTTCAGTTGGAACGGAAGAATTATAAGCAGAAAGTAGCCCTGCAGCTCCTTTCTAGCACTGATGATGTTACCTACTTGGGTCATGAGACGTCTTACAAGAAAACAACCAAGCTCAGAGAGTACAAAGGACCTTACAATCCTCCTCCTCCTCTCCACTCCCTACTAGTACTGATGATGTTTCCTAGTTGGGTCATGAGATGTTTGCAAAAAGATAACAAAGCTCAGGGAACACCGGGAATTCCACAGTCGTCGTCGTCGTCGTCCTCCTCCTCCTCCTCCTCCTCTCCACTCCCTACTAGTACTGATGATGTTTCCTAGTTGGGTCATGAGATGTTTGCAAAAAGATAACAAAGCTCAGGGAACACCGGGAATTCCACAGTCGTCGTCGTCGTCGTCCTCCTCCTCCTCCTCCTCCTCTCCACTCCCTACTAGTACTGATGATGTTTCCTAGTCGGGTCATGAAATGTTTGCAAGAAAACAACCAAGCTCAGGAAACACAGGGAATTCCACAGTCCTTCTCCTGTCCCTTCTAGCACTGATAATGTTACCTAGTTGGGCCATGAAACGTCTGCAAGAACACAGCTAAGCTCAGAGGAGCACCAAGGGGCCCACAATCCTCCTCCTCTCCACTCCCTACTACTACTGATGATGTTACTTAATTGGGTCACAAAGGTTGCAAGAAAATAACCAAGCTCAGGAAACACCAGGAATTCCACAGTCCTCCTCCCCCTCCTCCTCTCCCTTCTAGCACTGATAATGTTACCTAGTTGGGCTATGAAACATTTGCCAGCCACTTAGCGTATATCCAGGTGAGTGCAGGTGCACCTGTGGCCCAGGTGTGCGAAGTCCCTCCTAACGCCTCTCCTTTTTCCATCCTCCTCTGCAGGCGAGACGCTCCTGAGCCCCCTGGTGATGTGCGGGCCACACGGACTCAAATTCCTGAAGCCCGTCGAGCTGCGTTTGCCACATTGTGCGTCTATGACTCCTGATGGTTGGTCTTTTGCTCTAAAATCCTCCGACTCCTCGTCGGGTATGCTGTCCTCCCTCTGTCCTTTGGGGGCTTATGGGTGCTATCGAATAATTTAAGCTCACCTGTCCCAGGTGGGCCTTGGCCCCCCCCCACCCCACCCCCGCCCACTGTGGAATCTTGAGATGGGACTATATCTCTCTTGTCTCTTCGTCTCCGCTCTCCATTTCATGTGTCATCGCCAATGTCTTCCTCACCCTCCTTCACGATGCCAAAAAATACCCCCCCCCTCCAAAACCAACCATTTGCACCAAATCGTGACGAGTCCGTCAAAAACGACACGGTAGATAATCCAGGACGTTTCCACGGTCCGGTTTAACGATGCAATTATCTATCCGCTGTCTTGCCTTGCGCCGTTTCCTCCCTCCCTCCTTCTCTCTCTCTCTCTCTCTCCCTCTCTCTATCTCTCTTTCTCTCTCTCTNGGGTTTCTGCTTTCCCAGGTTGTGTGGTGGAAGCTTCCATCGTGGTTTCTCATGTCTTCATAATCCCCATCCCAATTCCATCTGGGGTTTTTGGCCAAAAGATGGGCTAGAGTGTAGACTTATCCACGGAGACTTAAAACTTGGTTCTCGAGCTAAGCAGGGTTGGACCTGGCTGGTGTTTGGAGGGGAGAAAATGCCAGGATCATCGACTAGCCTGGAAAACCAAGAAAACCGAGGAGAACCAAGCAATCGACCACTTGCCTTTTGATGCCGAGCTAACTGCGGGAATCAAGTAGATTTGTAATTGTGCTGCGGGAGAAGATGAGGGGCCACGTGGACTTAATTCTGTTCCTTGGTCAGCAACGAGCTTGCCCTCCGTGGGAACCTAAGGCCGCCTCCTTGAATGAGAAGGAGTCAAAAACTGGGGCCTTCAGATGGAGGAAAGATGCATATGGGATCTACCTAAAGCCATCCAGAACGGCCCTCACCCAAAGCATAAGAGAACTTTCTCACTCCCTTCATGAGGGCGACGGTTCTTCTCCTGGATAAAGAGAAGCCGACCATCTGCTTGAGCCTTACCCAAGGCTGGGGAGGAAGAGGAAGGCCCGTAGTTCAGCCAGGAGAACCTCTGTCCCAAAGGCTCCAGATTCTAAACCTTCTAGAGAAAGATCTCTGCCATCATTCTTGAAGACCTTCAAGCTGCTGGACCAGAATTTCAACTTGGGGCAAAGTTTCATCGCTGTCCTACACTTCATTGCACTTGGAGCCCACCAAACTATTCTCCTTCACTTCCGTGTCCCACCTCCATCTTCTGGTGCTCCTTGTTCTCCTCCCCCGAATCTGGACAAGGAAGAAGACCGTTCTCATCCGTGTGAGCTCAGCAGAGACGGCTCCCTCTTCCCCCTGAGATGTTGTCCCAGCCTGCCACGCTCTCACGCAGATTTCCTTACACACTCAACTGCTGCTAAGGACCACCAGGGGGTAGTAAGCAACCATCAATTGTGTCCACACTGCTTATTTCTCTTCTGGGTGCATCATCGGCGATTAATTTTATATGAGAAGGACCAAATGCAGATCTAACTGGAGAAAACAGCATTTTCCTCCTCCCCCTCCCTCCCAGCCTTCATTTTTCAGAATTGATTGATGACCCTCCCTGGTTCCCATCTGTCTGCTTCCTCCCACCAACCGTTTTGATTCACTTGGGTTTCTCTGAAGCATCTTCCTTGCAAAGGATGGCCGAGTTCAGAAGACTAGAGATTGGGGTGGTAGTGGGGGGGAGATACCTTTCTTAACCATTTTGAGGTGGGGGAGCAAACAGGCATCTGAGGGGCCCACCCCAGTGGTGGATTCCTACCAGTTCTGCTGGAACTGGCAGCGACCCAGGCCTGCCATGCCCCTAAACCGGTTCTCCAGGTGATGCCATAGGCGCCGCCATCTTGTCTTTTGCTTCTGCACATGTGCAGAGCAATTTTTGTTGCATTGCGCATCAAGTGCGCCTCTTGACCACGAGCAAACCAGGAGTAGTGACCGCCGGAACCCGCCCCTGGTCCACACAGTCTGTTTGGGTAGCCTTGGTTAGGGGACGAAGTGCCTGACTCCAGTCCTGGGTCTCCAGAGCCCACGATGGAGAAGACCTTCCTCTTCTTGAGAGTTGCTGGCCATGGTGCTGTCGTTGGCCAAGGCAAGTGAAGAGCTGGACCAAGTTAGTTGGCCAACTGTAGATGTCCTTCAAGTACTTCCAAAATTCTCGGCAGGAGCTTCCGTTCCAAGACGTCAGGAGACCCCCACCTTGTGTCCTGCAGAAGACCTCAGGCCATCAAGCCCCCTCCCCAAAAATGGAGACCGTCCCAGAAGCATTCTGCATGGCTACCACCACCTTTCTAGAGAAAAAAAATAATATATTCGGGCTCTAAATACACAATTGGAGGAACCGGACGTTTTATCAGAACAAACACATCAGAAATCATAGTTCATCGAAAGCCTTTGCCTTATCTTGAAAGCTTTTATCACAATTTTAAAAAAATACCCTCTACGAATACTGTATAAATACCCCCGTCCCCCACTAACATCACCTATTGCTTGTATCATAAATAGAATAAAACGTTTTTCTAAACAGAGAAAACCTCAAGAGGTTTCTGCACAGCAACCTCCTCCACCTCCAGAGAAAAATATACTCCGCTCCAAATTGTACAATTGAAACGAGCTGGTGGCCCACAATCACCTGTCAAGAAATCATAGTTAATATTTACAAAGTCTCCCCCCCACCCCCCGGTTATTTTTAAAGGCCGTAAGCGACCTCGGTCATCATAGTAGTTAACTGTATGAACACCTTTGTCCCCAAATCATCTATTACTTGCATCTTCTAATCAAATAAAACATTTTTTTTAAACACGCAAAATACAGAAAGCACCAAGAGAATTCTACAAGGCTGGTTTTTCTAGAGAGAGAGAGGAAAAAAAAACCCACAGAGACCAAAGCTACCTTTTAGGAACATTTCCACATCTGGCACAGAAAACCCGAGGTGTATAACACCGTGCTCTCTCTGCATCTCTGCGCTCTGCAAACTCACTCGCCCTCCCCTTTTCCCCCCCTTAATTTTCATTCATACAAGGCCGCAATTCTGCAGTGTCTGCTATATAGCCTCCCCCCCGTTTTTTTTTTATGATGATTATTCCTGCCTGCAGAAAATCTGAGGCTTCCCTGCTTAAACCGAAAGCCGGGAGGTGTTGAAATGGGGANTTTCTGTAACCCTGATTCGTAGAGACTTTGGAAGAAGTGCTTTGCTTTTGTTTTGTTCAACTTGTGTTGCTGTACGAAAGATTTGTTTTTCATTCCGTTATTTCAGGCAGAGACTGTATTTATGTTATTTTTGGGCTCGTAGCCAGTCTGAGCCGAGAACTGATAAAGAAAGTTCCTTTTAAGTTTGTTTGCCTGTCATCTGTTTAACGAGCGGAGAAGGGGGGGCAGAACAGTTTGGGATGTCTTGTCTTCTAGATTCACATGACTGTATCAGAAGTGTCTCCTGGCTATTCTGTATTTGCATGCATTTACAACTAATTTGGTTTTGAACTTGGCCATGGATATGTCCAGGTAATCCCTATTAGTCAAGCTGTACTCAAGTTAGATTTTAGCTTAATGCAATATTTTTCAAACAATTATCGTAAAATCAAAATTTGTGGAGTATTGTATACCAGATAAACATTGGGAACTGGGAAACCATGACATTTTCTGACACCATCAATGTACCTATTCACATTTGTTGCAAATATTGATAAGGTATCTACGTACAGCAGGGTTTCCGAAATGGGCTCCATGGCTCCATACTCAATATTGATAAGGAACAATTCGAGTTTGGAATAGGTTGGGTGAACTTTAGAATCATGGCAATGTAGATGAGAAGGTAATTCACTGGAAATGACTTCTTGGATGGAAACTTCATTTGGAGTCTCAAAGCTATAGAATTCATTTCGAAAACTCTTCCTAATGAAGCACTTAGCTTTCAAAAAGACAAGGATGCTTAGAAGCTATTTCTTAAAGCAGCTCCCTCTCTTCCTGGTGCTACCATATTTTTCAGAGTATCTTTTTCCCTCAAAAAAGAGGCTGAAAATCGGGGTGCATCTTATACACTGAATACAGCAGTTTTTGCCTCCTGAAACCCCGCCCCTTCACCAAAATGGCCGTGCATAGCTTGTAGGAGTGTTTCAGAGAGCTCCTGGGGGCTGTGGAGGGCAGCCTCCTCAGCCCCCAGGAGCACTCTATAAGCTTCCTAATGCCCTTTTTTTTTGACAAAAAACAGGCCCATTTTCGCAAAAAAATGGGCCCGTTTTCCATGAAAACGGGCCATTTTTGGGAGGTTTGTAGAGTGCAAAACCTTTTTTTTATTTGCCTCTTCAAAACCTCTTATACTCCAGTGCGTCTTATATTCCGAAAAATACAGTAAATCCGCCAGGTTGCCTTCTGCAACTACAGAATGATTTTGGTGAAGGCCAGGTTTATTAATTGATTCAGCCATAGTTGAGCAGTGGTCAGAGTGCAGTACTGCAGCCTACTTCTGCTGCCTGCTGGCTGCCTGCAATTTGGCAGTTTGAATCTCACCAGGTTCAAGGTTGACTCAGCCTCCCATCCTTCCAAGGTGGGTAAAATGGGGAGCCAGATTGTTGCAGGCAATAGGCTGACTTTATAAACCTCTTAGAGAGGGCTGTAAAGCATGGTGAAACAGTATATAAGTCTAGGTGCTAATTAATGATTAAATGTATATGCCACCCATCTTCAATAGTCAAATTCGATGCAGATTCGAGGCACACGGCAATGGATCTCTGCATATTGTACTCACTAATACTAAAANACAGGTAGAGGAAAAAGGACGCCGTGCTAGGAGGAGACTCTATGGTGGGGGAATCGGACTTCCGGTCGGCTTCAGAATTGAACGGGGGGCTTACGGTTAGGACCTTTGTGGCTCTTTGAGTGTTTAAGCTTATTGACATAGATGTTAAGTGTAAATGAACAAAGGGATTTAAGCCTCAGAGCAGAGTGAATGAACCCATAAGCCTTAGACTGGGAAAGAGGAAGAGACACTCCACCCACTGAAAAAATATAAGCCCAGTCATTACAGGAAATTGCGTGGCTTTTTTTGTGTGTTTGCTGAAAAGACAGCAGTGATGGTAGCTAGAATAGCTCCATGAATGTGCATGTATACAACGGGAACCATGTGTGGAAACGCATACTTATGATCTTACAAAACAGCAGTACGGGTGGATTTAAGCATAATGGTTGTGATTCAATATTAGAGAAGCGAACTTAAATTCTCCTTAAATTTTGCAAATTACTCTTTTGAAGTTGGAATGTATTGGCGGATTTGTCAAAGATAGCAGGTAGACAATTCCGCTCTAATTATCACATTTTTTTTCCAGTGAATAACTGTTTACTCAAAAGCAGAGAATTACAAAATCTGGAAAACAATTAAAGAGGATGCAGGGACATCTCTGGATGTGATCTAATAACTCACATCCAACACTGGCCAATTTCACATGACAATATTATTCCTGGAAGTAAGCGCCCTACATATAGGACGAGGGACTATTTATTCTTGACATTTTAAGCCAGGGGTGTCCAAACTTGGGAACCAAGTTTTAAGGTCAAACCAATTCACGCCAACATTTTATACCACTTGCAATCTGACAGCGCATAAGGAAGCCGTTCACCTCACAATGAATTCTTCTGAACTCAGTGGAACTTACTTCCAAGTAGTTCTTAGGAGGAAGGACTGCAATGTAAAATCTTTTTTTTTAATATTGGTTTGCACAAATATTCCTTTATAAAAGAGAGAGTGGTGTTTTCTTTACCTTTGCCGAGTAAACAAACTGATCAATGAACTTTCCGTTCCCAGCGGCATTCTGAAGAGCAAAAACTTGTTCAATTTTAACAACCGGAGACATATTACATTTCTGAAGGTCCAGAGTTCCCTTGTGCATGGTTATGGACGCTGGGAGGGATTTTCTAGCTGCGGCAGTTTTCCACTGAATTTTCACAGGAGGGGATTCTTTATCGGCACTGGACTGTCTCCTCTGACTATACCTCCGGACCTCCGTTTTGGGTGGGGAAGGTGCGGCCAAATCGTCATCAATCTCTTCTGGCGGAGAGCTTGGCGGGGATTTGATTTTGCGGATCTTTTTAGCCTCAATCTTAGGCATGACAATCCGTTTGGCTTTGGACGACACCTCTTCTGGCTCTTTATCTACGTAGATGAAGGTGTACTGCTCTATCCTCTCTTCCAGGCTCATTTTTAGCGCTTTCTCGGCATGGGCAATGCCAATATCCCACTGTGCCCGTTCTCTCTGTGGCCTCGGTTTGCGAATCTTAGAAGAGAGAGAGAGAGAGAAAAAAGATGCGGCATTCATTCAGCCCCCAATTACAAAATGTGCCCAAATGAAATCAGTTTTGGCTTCGGTTGCCGTGTCAAAATATTTCCAGAGAGACGGCCCTGTTATGCAACCAATTCCGTTGTAGACATGATGTACAATAACAATAAAGTCTATACTACTACTGTCACATGCCGTCTGTAGCAAAATGAATGAGTTAGTAATCTGTCATCTTAGAGCAGATTCTTATTTAAAGCATCCCTCTCACCTTAAGGTTTGACCAGGCTACAGATTCTGAAGTTCTGCTGACTGTCAACAAAGTCAGACTACCATATTTTTTCGGAATATAAGATGCACCGGAGTATAAGTCGCAGCAAGGTTTTGAAGAGGAAAATAAATAAAAACTTTTGCACTCTGCAAACTTCCCCAAAACGGCCCTTTTTTCACAAAAACGGGCCCGTTCCCCCCCCCAAGGCATGAATAGCCTTTAGGGAGCTTGCAGAGTGCTTCTGGAGGCTAGGGGGCCTTTTTCTGCTCATTTCTGCCCTCCCCAGCCCCCAGGAGCTCTCTAAAAGCTTCCTAGAGGCTCTGCATGACTATTTTAGTGAAGGGGGCGGGGTTTGGGGAGGCTAAAATTGGCCCTGTGCGCTCCCCCCCTGCCACCCGTTTTCGGCCTCCCTGGTCACCAGCAATATTCTGCTGGCCAAAAACGGGCGGCGCAGAGGCCTCACCATGGCCTGTTTTTGGCCAGCAGAGTGTTGCTGGAGGCCATGGAAGGTGAAAACGAGGTGTGTGGGGGGGGGGCTATACACACCTCCCCATACTCTATTTTGGCCAGCAGGATGCTGCATCCACCTTGTCATCTGTCTTGTCTCCCCTGCCCCACAGAGAAGAACTAAAATACTGATCCAGCCCTCGATAAAATCTAGTTTGACACCCCTGTGCTAAGGCTACCTGAAGTTTATTGTGCTTCCTTATAGTAATTGACAATTCAAATGATCTGAACAATCACATAATTCATCTTTGATAATAACTACAGTGTCAGGCCTGCAGCCGGTTCCTTTTAGGATCTTTGGCCTGCCACACACTCTCTCTTTCTTTACTATGCTGTTTCATTAGTGGGGAATTGGGAGGGGGAATAGTAAGGTGTAGNCTTTTAAAATATGCATTCCGTCTTTGACGCTAAAATGAACACCCCAATGCTTTAAACTGTGGCCACAGAGTAAATTGGAAAGTCTACTGCCCCTTCTCTCTGCTGTTGACATGAGCTCTATTGCAATGTGGTGCTCTCAAAGGTCAACACTCATTCCAGTTCAACTCAACTACCAGTAACTATATGGACCACTGTAGAGAATTGATTAGCCAAAGCCTTCTTCAGACTACCCTTTGCCTCTGGGTTCTCTGATGGTCTTCTAAGCTCGTATCAACCCGCTTAGCAATCACTGAAGGTCAGTTGGAGCCAGAGGTGGGTTGCTACCGGTTTGGGCGAACCGGTAGTGGAAATTGGGACTGGGTCACTGAACTGAACCGCGAAGCGAACCGGCAGCAATGCCGGCAGAACCTAACCCTGGTTGGAGCCCTTTCCTTTGGTCTCCACCTAATATTTTACCCTTGGAAAAACATCTCATTCATTTGGCCTTAAACCAGGAGCCACAAAATTTACCTACTTGCCAACCCAGAAGACGTTTCTGGAGAGGGTGCACTTTGTGTCGAGGCTCTCTCCGTTCGCGGGATGGAGACGGAAGTGACTTTGTCGTGCCCTTTGATGATGATCTCTGGTTTGTTTCCTATGCCCTATTACAAATTAAAAGGAGGAGCTTTGAGTATTTCTGAATTAGGGTCTCTGTAAGAAATACTTTTTTTCAAATATTTAGCACAATAACACACATACACACACACAACAATACACCAGTGGTGGGTTCTGGATCCTGTTGCAACCGATACGGTTGCACCGGGGCCCGGCGTCCTCCACACAAACATGCACATGCGTCTTACCATCCAGCGACGCCTCCGAAAGCCTCCGCAACGCTCCAGCTGCTCGGCGGAGCATCACACAGGCGCTGTAGGCACCATGCACGTGCACAGAAGCGCCAAAGGGTTTAAAGACAGGAAAGGAGCGCTGGAAGGTGGGTGGGCCCTCCGGAGCACCATGCCGGAACGGTAACCAGTGCTCTGGGCAGGCTCTGGTAATCCCATACCGGGGCGTACCGCCTGCAACCCACCACTGACACACACACGCTCACATCTCTCCTAATTTTCCAACATTCTAGATGCATTAGTTTTAGTGCATAAATCAAGGGCATCCAGAAAATGTGAGGGGACTCCTCACGCACACATACATATATATACACACGCACACATTCAGAAGGGTGTGAATAAAACAAGGACATCCACAAAAGGTGAGAACACTTAAACTAGCTCGAAGACATGAGATTCTTGAGGTAGAGATCAACATTGAAAAGGAAATGCTCAAGACCTTCCCCTTAAATTTTTGGGCAGGTGGTTGCAAGCAATTCTCCCCCACCCCCACTGCATTCCAAACAATGCTGTTATAATGATACGACATTATGAGCTATCTCCTTGCCCAGCTTCCTGGTCTGAAATTTCACAGCTGTTCTAGGAGAAGTAACTCCTGGAACTTGGAATACCGAGATTAAAAAAAAAAGAAGAAGTAATACAAATAAGGACATAAAACAAAGATGGCAACAAGGAGGATGAAAAATAAATAAAACATTGTTAAGTGCAAAAAACCCCAAAGGTGCTTTTTTCAAAAGGTGACTGGACTTTGTTTTTCCTTGAAGACGTTTCGCTTCTCATCCAAGAACCTTCTTCGGTTCTGACTGAATGGTGGACAACGCTAACGGCAAGATGGACTGCAAGGAATAGAAATCCTTCCATTCTCCACCGTTCAGTCAGAGCTGAAGAACCTTCTTAGATGAAAGGAAACGTCTTCAAGGAAAACCAAAGTCCAGTCACCATTTGAAAAAGTGCCTTTGGGACAACCATGACTTGGATGACATAGATCAGGAGTCGGCAACCGGTGGCTCTGGAGCCGCATGTGGCTCTTTCATCCCTCTGCTGCGGCTCCCTGTTGCCGGTCGGCTCCACAATTGATAGGGCTTTCGATTAGAACAGGTAGAGGAAAAAGGACGCCGTGCTAGGAGGAGACTCTATGGTGGGGGAATCGGACTTCCGGTCGGCTTCAGAATTGAACGGGGGGCTTACGGTTAGGACCTTTGTGGCTCTTTGAGTGTTTAAGGTTGGCGACCCCTGCTCTAAATGAACAGACACTGCCTGGTTTTTTTTTTAATGC